AGTAAGTATATTCACACTATTATTTGTTGTAACTCTAGTCTCTATAATAGCTATAATATCCAGCTTCAAACGACAAATTTTCTTTAGCACTGCAGAGTGCTTCTCAGGGGCATTAAACCCCCTGATGTTCTAACACACGACCTTCATTTACCTCGTTTCTTCCCTCTACTCCTATCTTTAGCAGGAGCAGGGGGAGATGGGTAACAACTCGCCTTGAACCAGGTCGACTCAGAGAAGGGAAACTTGCATCATCCAAGGACAGTTTACCAGGACCAGAAGAACAATTCCACAGGCTCTTAGAAACAGATCCAGGGGCAGGGGCTCTAACTCTGTTACTCCTATTCGTAACCAATTGAAACCCATCTTCGATTTCAACATGAACCGGCTCAGTTTTCTCCACAGATATAGGGGTTAGCACCTTGACAAAAATGGATGAAGATTCAACAGCTTCAACCTGCTCTACCCCCATAGATTGCTGCACTGGGGAGCTAATAGAGGCACCGTCTTGCTAAACTAATATACGCTTACCTTTACCCACTTCGAAACCTGAGACACTTCCTGTACTCTTGACTGCTTGACCACCCAAATCCTCTTCGTTTTCCCCTAGATTCGAGAAATCATCCCCAAAAACTTTACACTTCTCACATTTTCTCGGGACATGATAGTACTCAACATCCACCAACATCTCAGGTTTGCCATTAGGGGTTATACTCAACTTGTTGACCATATTCGATTTTACAGTAATCTCAACACAAAGCTTGGCCACCCCAAACCTAGTCCCCTGCTTCGTAGGAAAATCCATACAAAGTGGCCTACCTAAAGAGCTAGCAATACACTTTAATCCCTCCTTTGAAGCCATCTCAGAAGGAAAATTCGACAACCTAACCCACACTGGAACAATGGAGTTATCAATTACAAGAGGTTGGATACCTAGTTTCCATTTACGCAGGAAGAGCATGTTCTCGCGATGGTGCCCCTTCGAAAACCCAGCGACACACCTCCGCATTCGGAATTTGAAACAGAACCAACCTATCAACAAGCCACGAAACCCTTATCGCTCCATCACACCCCCCAAATCCAATTCACCCAAAAGTGAATTGAAGATAGAGACGTCGGACGGTCAAGGAATTTCCCAACGAGTCAGTTGACCCGTCGCCTGGATTCTTCATCGATGACCGACGCAGGAATCCGCAAGGAGCCATTAACGAACTCTGGCTCGTAGTAATCCAGCTTAAAATCGGGACTGATTGAGAAGAGACAAGCCCAGGTGCACCCGTCATGGTCGCCATCGGCTGGAAAAGGAAAACTCTGATTCGCAGAGAGAAGGGAAGAGTTAAATATTTGTTTAGTTGATATGATAACTATAAATTTATACCTTTAAAATCTTATTACCTACTACTCTTCTTCCTTTATTTTCGAAACCGAGTATGCTATTTTTAATTATAGCTAGCCAAACATTCATTAAAAAGGTCCCCTTTGCTTAGTACGGTATTCTTGATCAGAGTTGTGTTGTGAACTTCTTTCTTCCTTACTTTCCAATTTTGTAACCTCTTATTAAACAATACCAGCAGCTAGCTATTTTGGATATCGTGATGATGAATATTCATACCAATTTCAAAGTAAACACAAACCAACAGAAAAGGAAAAACATACAAACTTTCAGGTTTTAGGTTCATATTGGCGAAAACACAAGGAAAGGACATGCAAACTCAAATCCTTGATGCTCGCTAATCACAAGGCAAACACAAAAAATAAAATCTAAAAACCAGGCTCCTTTACAACATCCCTTATATACCAGCTCAGAGGGAAAAGGAAACTAGGCCTGGTTCGACACCAAAATGAGACCAATCATTGTCATACTTCCTAAAATAATAAATTAATTGAATTACCAGGACCCTTTGTTGGCCAATGTGTCTAGGCACAAATGAACTTCGCAATCGGCTTCGACATTCCCAACAGGAAGGCTGCGAAAAGAGGGCACGCTACAGAAGGAGGGTGATTGGCACTTCCTTTCCCTTGGGATCGTCGGAATCGTCAGAGTATGGATATCGAGATATTCGACTTACCCATTGTCCTCACCACAAAATTTCACCGTGGATATCCATAACTGCCGCGTGGTAGGATGAGTACATGTCGAATAATTTATCATGGGGTGCGGGTCGGAACAGGTCGGCTCGTATGGGTATGTAATTTGTAAGGAAAATATTTGAAATATTAATTTTTAATATAAGCTATAACATTAACATGACAAATGCAGTTTAATTATTCAAGAAATTCAAATTCTTGCTTTTTACAACTTTATTATAGCTAAAATATGAGGTAATAAAAGTAAAATTCTAAGTAATATTAGTAAAATAACATATAATTTGACCAAAATTTATCTAGAAACTAGAATAGGGTGGGTCAGGACAAGACGATGAGAACACCCATACCTGTCCCGCCCCACCTATTAATAGGGTATAACCCGCTCCAAAACAAGTCAAACATATAACATAAAACGAATCAGAACAAAATTGGCATCCCTAATTCTTGTGTGTCAGATTACTACATCATGTCGCCATTTACAGCATATGGCTAGAACAAAATTTCAAGTCAACACTATTTATTGGAGTAGTTTAATTTGTCTAATGATTGCCATGATAATATTCATTTAATAGACTTTTAGTTGCTAACTGATAGAATATTTAGATCATACGCAATGGATTTCATTGAGTTTTCTCAAACTTATAAAAGAGTACAACCTAATAAAGATTTTATTATTTCTCATCAACAAATGCACAAACATTGGTGCTATGTTGTATATTCTAATATTCACTGTTACTTTCTTAGAGTTATGTTTGTTGTGTATTTGTTTGTAGCTAATGGGCTCAATTCATCGCCTCAAATGTGCACGTACAATTTTCTCATTTGAAACACTTGGACTTAAGTTAAAGCATAAATATAACTAGTTTTCTATAATCATCGGTCATTAACTTAAGTATCACTAATATATTTACATAAGTTTTTTTTTCATAATTTTCTCTCATAATGATGCTATTTAGGGGCATAGTTAGTAAATACTCCGTTTAATACACGTATATGTACCCGTACGTACTTTATCCGTTTAAAACTTCCGTATCCGTATTATTGTCAAGCCGTTTCATTTTTGTCCGTTCATTTGATGGCTCCCATATTAAACACGTATAAAACCTGTATAACAAGTTTAATATCCGTATTTAATGAATTCAATTATTAACTTTACTATTATTAATATCTTTATTTATTTTTAAAATAATTAAATTTTCTATATTTATGACAATTAACGTACTATTAAACGTAACATTAGCATAGAGACGAAGTAAAATACCCGTCCATATATTATACGTAACTTTCCTGTATCGTATTTTACTAACTATGTTTAGGGGTGAATATAGTTTTGTCCGGTTCGACGAAAATCAGACAAGAAACATAATTGATATAAGTTGGCCATTTGATATAAGTATGTCATCTCTCTTGTTCAAATTTCCTCTGTCCTCTCTCTACTTTCCAGCCTATCCCTTCCGGGCTGCCGCCGGCACTTCTCGGTTACCGGTGGTAGCCCCAATCTCTTTTCTTTTCGCACTGCTCCCTTGCTCTCCATCTCCTTCCTTGGCATTTTTTGCTCTTTCCAAGCCATTTCATGGCATTTCCAGCCCTTTGTGGTATTTGTCCTTTCCCTAAGTGGGTTATCTCCACAATCCTCTCCCTGGGAGATGGATTTCACCTGTTTTTGCTCTAGATATTCTAGATCTGGTGGACCTTGCTCTGTTCTGTGTTTCGAAGGATGCAGATTGGAGATCATCTGTCATTGATCTGACTGATGGTTCTGACCAATCTTGGTGTAGTCATCTTCGAGGGTGAATGCATTCGCCGTTTGCCCTTCCGTCGTCGTCCACCAGTCGACGATTGTTGTTGTAGCGGAGTCTCCTCTGGTTGCTGGGTCGGTGACGCTTTGATTGGTGGATTTTGTGGTTCATCTAGGGTTGGTTTGGGCTAGTGTTTTCGGGTTGTTTGGAGTGATTTTGGGGCTGCTTTTGATTGTTCTGGTGCTGGATTTGTTTCGGGTGTTCTTTGTCGGCTTGTGTGGTTTGCAGGTGTTCTTGTTGGTTCTGGTCTTTTATCCTCCATGTCTTTGTGTGTGGCTTTCTCCTACCGTGCCTCTGCTCTGTTTTATCATGGTCCTCGTCCCGGTCCCGTTGGTCTTTTTCAGCTCTGAGCAGTCCGATCACAGCCTTGTCCACCGCCGCGCAATCCCAATTCGGTGATTCACTGTGATGGATAGTCTTTGAACAACTCCCAGGAGGCGGCATATGGTGTTGCAATGTTCAATTACCATGGTCATGTTTGTATTGGGCGAGCTGAAGCTGTGCTGTGTGCCATTTCCTTTGGTTCAAGTTACAAATATGGCACGAGTTTCTCTGTGTTTTGGCTCTTGTAAGGGAACCCCCTATGTTCAGTGTTCTTGTTGTGTTGTCTTTCTTCTGGGCACTTTCCCTTTGTCATGATGCTCTCTCTCTGGTGTTGGGGTTATCCTTCTTTATTGGGATTCAGTTTGTTCCCCCTCTTTGTAACCTTGTTCTTTCGAAGTGGAATATAAGCATATCCTTTGTCAAAAAAAAAAAAAAGAAAGATATAAGTATGCCCACATAATATCTCAGATGATCCGATCTTACGTGAATATGTCTAATCATCTCTCCTCCTTTTCCGTCGTCATAGTATTCAGGACAGTACCTCGTGTCGTTAAAAGTGGGTTGCCCATAGAATCACATACAAAACTCTTTTGATTTTTCATTTAAAGTTAAGAATCGTTTATATTTTCTAATTTTTTCCTTACAAATTATATACCCATACGAGCCGACCTGTTCCGACCCGCACCCCATGATAAATTATTTGACCTGTACTTGACCTACCATGTGGCGGATATGGATATCGAGATATTCGACCTACCCATTGTCGTTCCTCACGACAATAGTATTACTTATTAAGTAATTGTTGTTATATTAAAGTCATATGGTAGCCATAAGGGGCTTTTAAAATATATTTGTTGGTTTTGACCTTCGTCATTCGTGACATTTGGTGCAATATAACAATATCTAGCGGAAAGATTTGTATAAATTAAAACGGAGACACTAACAGTTAAGGCACACTCATACTTAAGATAAAAAAGACAAAATCAGCTAATAACATCACTAGATAACCAACAAAAGCTTATGTTATCTCTAATTATTAATCAAACTAACATATGAAACATACTAATAAAATCAAAGACGGCTAAATTATTGTTCCTGAAGAATTTTAATTCAATCCCTCAAATATAGGTGTGAAATACTTGAGCTCCATTGCGCCACGCCTCACGTAAAATTCCGTTCGATACATACTCCCATCGGAGTCGAGCCTGTTGCCTCCGGCCGCCATCACGTCGAGCTTGTAGTTCAAGCCATCCACCACTTGGACTAGGCCCCTCCGAATGCTTACGAGTCTCAAGCGATGTTTGAAACCATTTTCCAAGTTGTGCATTCCCACTGCAAACTTGGCAATCTCCTGTACACGATAGCTGTGTATGTTCTCTATCGGCTGCCACCCACCAACGGGATTAGCACTGACGGTGGAGAGAAATGCTACGATGGTAGTTATAGCCACGAAAAACTTAACGGGCTTCATCTTTCGTTCGAAAAGTGATTCTTGGTGTGAGTTTGTTTGGTGTGTTTTGGATGTGAAACGAGACTAATTGTGGTGTGTATTTATATCTTATAGTTGAACTAATTGATTTCTTTCTTTCATTTGTTTGTTTTTTCGGTCTTATGGTAAAGTTGTCCATTTTTAGTTATGTATCCCGTTATCATAAGTGGATGTATCTTTTTGCAATTTTTATGGGTAACTTTGGCGGTTGACTCTCCTCTTTTACCGGTTACAAGGGAACTTGGCCGCTGCTTAGCAGCTGGCTTTGCTATAAGAAATTATTTAGTTTGACTAATATCATAACTATTAATATCAAAGTTCGGGAAATGTTTTCCCGTCACTTCAGACACTTGTCATGATGGGATGCTTTCTTGGCTCAAGACATTTGTGCCATTTTCTCAACAGGTTTTATCTTGTGTTGCATTACTTCCCTCCATTTCCTCTCCTTTGCTGCCTCTTCGAAGGATTGAGGATCCTCCGCAGTAGGCAATAGCTATCATAACAGCACAATCAAATTGAACACAACCCATCTCAAAACCATGCTAGGAGGAAGTCTCCCAACGTATCAGGTGATTCTTCTTCACTAACATCAACTTCATTGGATGATTGAGTCCTTCAGCATTTTTGGTGTGGTTGAAGCTTTTGGATGGTCCCCTATTGGAAGTGGGCCAGCGGGCCCAGCATCAGCAGCTGGACTCCAGTACAACGGCAGGCCTTAAGCCAAGCGTGTCCCATGTTTGTACCCTCTTTAGTTGTCCATGTAATTATACCCTAGGAGATAATCAAGAAAACCTAATAAGAAAATCAGCCGTGTAGCTCTTGTGAGCTCACCGTGGATTAGTCATGTTCACATCGAACAGGGATACCACGTAAATTCGTAGTCTTGTGTTTTTCCGCATTATCAAAATTTATCATGGTATCAGAGCCGTGAACATGATTGTTTTGCTACATCATGGGTGATGAAGAATCGACAGTCAAATCGGGATCTGCTACGTCTGCGGCAATGTCAGGGGGCTCGCGTGGAGCCGACCCGGATCCCTCAAGTCCTTTCTTCCTTCACCAGTCTGACAGTACCGGACACCTTCATGTGAGCAGTCTTCTTACGCCGACAAACTATGGCGAATGGATTCTTGAGATGACCGATGCCTTGGTTACCAAGAACAAAATAGGGTTTGGGGATGGGTCAATCCCACGACCCGCGGTTGGCGCAGACACGGAGCAGGTTTGGCTTCATTGTGATGCGCTCATCAAAGGCTTGCTTTTGCACGACCATGGATGCGGAACTCCGCGGCAGTGTCATACACGCTAAAACCGCCCAAGAGATATGGGATGATCTTCGGGATCGCTTTAGCAAAGGCAATTTGACTAGAGCTTATGAGCTTCGACGTCACGTTAGTCTCCTCCAACAAGAGAAGTAGTCCGTCTCCAACTTCTACACTCAGCTGCGGAAGGTCTGGGAGGAGACCCCGACAATTTTACCGCCGTCGTTATGCGCTTGTGGCTGGCGCGGGGGAGACCAAAACGAAAGTCTCCGTCTCCTCGATTTTTTACTCGGCTTGGATGAGAGTTTTGGGACTGTGCGAAGCCAGATTCTCTCGATGACACCCACGCCGACTCTCCCGGAAGCTTTTCGCATTGTGTACAATGACGAACAACAGCGAAACCTCACTCAAAAGCGGAGACCGGTGCCTGAAGCAGTCGCTTTCGCCACCCTTCAACAGTCTGATCGCGGACAGCTCGAACGGGGCTCCAGTGGGTCTCGTCCTTCGTCCTTCGCGCGATCGTGGGAATGGTGAATGCGAGCGAGGAGATCGTGAGAGGCTTCATTGCACACACTGTCTTAAGGGTGGGCATCTCAGGGAAACTTGCTTCGAGCTTATCGGATGGCCAACCCATGATAAGCAGTCTGAAAGGCCCAATCGTCGTCACAATCGCGAGTCTCGCAATGAGCAGAATGGGGGTCGCCCTCCTAGCCGCGAGCCACGCGCTTCGCAAGATGACACCGAAGCCAGCCCTGTCCCAGGTTTCTCCATGCAGCAACTGGAACAGCTTCACCAATTCTTTGGCAGCCAATCGCCGTGTGCTGTTGACCCCACTAGCAACATGGCCGATACGCATACTTTTTCTCATCAAACAGAGTGGTTATTTGACTCGAGATGTAATTTGCACATAACCATGGATGATTCTCTATTATCTGCACATGATACTGGTTTTCCTAGTCACCCTGTGCGCATTCCGAATGGTAGTAGCATTCTTGTTAAGCGCAACGGGTTCGTTCAGCTAGGAGAGGGCATGCCACTTAGTCGTGTTTTACATGTCCCCGAATTTCGCTGCAACCTGTTATCGGTTAGCCTTCTATGTCAGGAGCACCATGTTGCGTTAATATTTCTGGGTGATTTTTGCATCATACAGGACTTACACTCCATGAACGTGATTGGGAAGGGGGAGATTCGTGATGGCCTCTACTTCTTGAGGTTGTTTGGGTGCCGACAGGCAAGATTTCACGTTGTTTCACAGAGGGCGGCTCTTCCCACTGTTATCTGGCACGCTTGCTTGGGTCATCCCTCGGCAGCAGTCTTGACCAAGCTTGCGGGAGTCATTTCTGTTTCTTTAGAGTTGAATAACACTTTATGTCACTCTTGCTCTCGAGCTAAACAAGTTAGAACCCCTTTTCCTGTTAGTGGCATTCGCACTACTTCTTGTTTTGAGATGTTACATTTGGATATCTAGGGTGGCTATTCTACACCATCTCTTAGCGGTGCACACTATTTTTTGACCATTGTTGATGACTTCAGTCGGGGTGTTTGGGTTTATCTTCTCAAATATAAATCAGAAGTTGGCAGATATCTTCAATTGTTTTGCAACCTTGTCCGCACTCAATTTGGGAAACGGGTTAAGCGGCTTCAGGCTGACAATGACCTGGAATTTGGCACTGAAACCTTACATGATTTTTATGAACAGGAGGGCATCTTACTTCAGACTTCCTGTACCGACACTCCACAACAGAATGGGGTCGTTGAACGCAAGCATCAGCATCTGCTTGAAACAGCTCGTGCTCTGCGCTTCCAGGCATCCTTGCCCATTCGCTTTTGGGGTGAGTGTATTTTGACTGCTGCCTATTTGATCAATCGTTTGCCACTACTGCTACGGGTCGTACACCCTATGAAGTTTTCTTTGGAAAATCTGCTCTTTACTCGCACTTGCGCGTCTTCGGTTGCTTGGTCTACTGCAAAGATACGCATTCTCACCTTGGTACGTTTGACGAGGGTGTGTCTTTCTGGGACACACAGCCAGCCAAAAGGGCTATAGGGCCTACGATTTGGTGAGTCACAGGATGCTTACAAGTCAGGATGTGGTTTTTCATGAATCCACGTTCCCTTTTCAGTCAGAGACCTCCCAACAGTTTACTTGGGTTCCTGGCACTGTCTTCCAGCGTGCCCCTGATGATCCGGATGATGAGTTGGTCTTGGGCGACAGCAGTCCCACCTTCGGGCCGCCCTCTCCTTCTCATGGGCTTTCTGCGTCCGCCCCACCCGTCCAGCCGGAGAAGAGGGCATGCGTGCCTTCCTCGGCCCAGCCCGCTTCTGGGCCCAGCCGCTTTGGCCCAGTTTTGCCCAGCCGCACTGGTCCAGCTTCGCCCCAGCCCATCGCCTCTTCTCGAGACTCTTCTATCTCTCGCTGATCACCTTCCCCTTCTGGGCCAACGAGCAGCCCGGTTTTATCCCCTCACTCCCAGGAGGAATCGTCAGATACCACACAGCTGGAAATAGAAAATGGTCGGCCCACTGTCCCGGAGTTACACCGCAGTGATCGTGTGCGTCATCCGCCTAAGCGATTTGATGTCTACTACACAGGGAGTCAAGCACACTCTTCTCATTATCCCTTATCTGCTCATCTTAATTATGATCGGTTCTCTTCTGAGTATTATGCCTTTCTTGTAGCAGTTGCTCACAATCTGGAGCCAAAGACATTTTTTGAAGCTGTCTAGGATGAATGTTGGCGTCGAGCCATGAAAGACGAAGTCTTGGCTCTCGAACAAAATGGCACATGGAGCCTTATTTTTTTTTTACCTCCTGGCAAGCGTGTTATCGACTGCAAGTGGGTTTACAAAATCAAGTTTAATCACGATGGCACCATCGACCGATACAAGGCCTGATTGGTGGCTAAAGGATATACGCAGATTGAAGGTGTGGACTTTCACGACACTTTCGCTCCCGTTGCCAAGCTCGTGACTGTTCGTTGTCTCCTCGCCGGTGCCGTCAGTAAAGGGTGGCATATTCATCAACTCAATGTGAATGCTTTCCTTCACGGCAATTTGGATGAGGACGTTTACATGCGTATTCCCTAGGGTTTTGCTGCACCTGGCGATACTCGTGTCTGCAAACTCAACAAGTCCTTGTATGGACTTAGTCAGGCATCACGAAATTGGTACCGAAAGTTTACAGCATCTCTGTGTGAGCTAGGTTTCTGGGCTTCTCCACCGGATCACTGTCTGTTTATCTTTCGCCGGGGGAGTATTCAGGTCATTGCCTTGATTTACGTCGATGATGTGATTCTCACTGGTAACTGTCTTGATTTCATTTCTCAGGTCAAACGGTTCCTCCATGATCGGTTTACCATTAAAGATCTTGGCCTTCTACGTAATTTCCTGGGAATCGAAGTCGCACGCTCGCCTGAAGGTATGATTCTCAGTCAGCGGAAGTAACTTCTGGACATTCTCAATGATTCAGGCACTATCGGGAGTCGGCCTATCCTATTCCCAGTTGAGATGAATCATCATCTGACCAGCCCTGCTCCAGCCGATCATCCTGACCCGGCAGCTTATCATCGTCTCGTTGGCCGACTACTCTATCTGACGGTGACCCGTCCTGATATTACTTATGGGGTCAACATTCTCAGTCAGTTTGTTCATGCACCGACGCGTGCCCACATGGAGGCAGCTCAGTGGATCCTGCGTTACCTCAAGGGAGCGCCAGGTCAGGGCCTATTCTTTCCGGCATAGAATTCTCTTGATCTGGTAGCATACTGTGATGCAGATTGGGGTAGATGTCAGTCTACTCGTCGTTCTACCACCAGTTATGTCGTGACGCTTGGTGGTGTTCCGATTTCCTGTAGGACAAAGAAACAAGGTGTTGTTTCACATTCATCTGCGAAAGCAGAGTACCGAGCCATGGCCAACACTGTCAGCGAGGTCCTTTGGTTGCTCTGGTTGCTGCAAGAGATTGGGGTGTCTTCGTGTGGCCCCACTCCTCTTCACTATGATAATCAAGCTGCCATTCATATTGCAGCTAATCCAGTTTTCCATTAGCGTACTAAACATGTTGAAATGGACTGCTACTTCGTTCGAGAACGCGTGCAATCCGGAGATATTACTCCGTTGAAAATTAGCTCGCACGAGCAGCTCGCAGATATGTTCACTAAAGGCCTTGGGGCTAAGCGTTTTCAGTTTTTGTTGTCCAAGCTGCGTGTTCGTAATCTTCACGCCACAGCTTGCGTGGGAGTATTGGAAGTGGGCCAGTGGGCCCAGCATCAGCAGCTGGACTCCAGTACAACGGCAGGCCTCAAGCCAAGCGTGTCCCATGTTTGTACCCTCTTTAGTTGTCCATGTAATTATACCCTAGGAGATATTGTGAATGGTATAAATACAAGTGTAGGCCGCCGGCCATAATCAAGAAAACCTAATAAGAAAATCAGCCGTGTAGCTCTTGTGAGCTCACCGTGGATTAGTCCTGCTCACATCGAACAAGGATACCACGTAAATTCGTAGTCTTGTGTTTTTCCGCATTATCGAAATTTATCATCCCCAGTATGACTTTGAAAAACTCATAATCACACCCTTCCTAGATTAACTTGGTCAGAACACGAGCAACGTACTTTGAGATTTCCATGACCATCTGGTTTGTTGGTCGTCAAAAATAACATCTCTGTTACTATAGAGATTGATATGTTTGTTGTGGTTTTGCTCAAGCGGATTTAGAAACTTTATATTTCTCCGAATGCGGGGGCTTGGGCGGCCACGTATATATTTACTAGATTTAGCTTTGCTATAGCTAAGAGAGTGGGTGTCAAGATTGTGTATCGACTGCACACTAATTCTTTCTAGATCTTTGTTTGAACTTCCCATAATAATAATAATAATAATAATAATAATAATAATAATAATAATAATAATAATAATAATAATTGAGTAGAATACCATAAATAATAATAATAATAATAATAATAACCATTAGTAATGAGGATTCGGGATATCACACATTGGTCAATTAAAAAGAGATTAAACAACTAAAATAAAAAGAAAGATCGATTCTTTTCGACACTTCCTTTATTCAAACGAAACGACCAGAGATAGAATCATACCGATTCCTTGAATGCCCTTCTGGATATTCCTCAATGTTTCGGCTATTCACGGAAGGCCATCCAGAAGAAATCAAATTATTATTATTATTATTATTTGACCTTTTTTTTGTCTTCCGTGTTCAACAACTGCATTTTTGAAATGAGCACGATGACCACATAATTCAGAGTACTCATTTCTGAAGTGCCCTAACTTGTACAAATTAAAACACTCAATTATTTCACCACTTATACTAGAAAATTATAGCGAAAAATGTCTCTCTCCTCCTCTCTAACGGGAAGTTTCTCTGAACCTCTCAACGGTTCCTTTTCCATCCCTAATGTTGGGACTGTTCATGCTCAAGGGAAGAGCGCCATAAAGAAGCTTCAACAACCAAATAAAGAGGGCGAAGATCATCAAGAAGGAGGCAGACGCAACCCATCACCAACAGAAGAGATTCTTTTAGAGATTGGACAAGGCAGGAAAAGATCTGCAAAGGACATAAAGACAAGGGGGATATGGAAGCCACCAGACGTTTGAATAGATAACTTCAAATGTCAGAGAAAGAAGAAGAGAAGAGGTATAAGAAGGAAAGTTGCTGGAGGTTACCCTGGTGGTGTCATCTCCAGTAGAAAGAAGAAGGGCATCAGCCTTAAGCCAAGTGCTTCTAGGACAGAGAGGAGAAAGCAGAGAGGAGTGACTACCAGTCAAAAGAGGTGTAATGAATATCTTGACAAGAAACAAACCACCAACAGAGTAAAGAAATTAAAGACCACCTACTTGGAGGAGGCTTTAAAGAGGAAGAGAAGGAAAGAAGAAGAGGACTTACTTCCAATAGAGCTCCTCAACACAGCTTGCTCTGCCTCTAAAAAAAACCCCTCGGTTCCCCTGGAAAAACACCAAGAAAAACAAGGAAAAAACCAAAACGGCAATATGAATGCCAACAGCAGTAGAGCACCAAGTGAAAACAAAGAGGAGAATAGGCTTACCACATCAGCAGCAAGGGGCAGAAGCGACCGCCCAATTCTCACATCCACCGGGGGCCGAGGCATATCAATGATGTTGGGGAAGATGATGACTGTGAATAAAGTGGCTCTGGCCAAGGCTGCAGGAGCGGCACGCCATGCTTGGGGAGGATATGGTGAGGTTAACGTCCAACCTACGGAAATACAAAATCTATTCATATTCACTTTCAACAAAGAAGAAGTAAGGGAGAGGATATGGAATGACAGACCATAGAGCCTGTCCAACAATCTCACTGCTATTGAGAAGTATAATGGAAGAGGCAAATCTGAGGAAGTCCCAATGGAGAAGCTGGCGATGTGGGTGCAGATCCATGGATTGCACTAGAATCAAAGAAGCGAGTAGAACATGGTGGCAATTGGAACCCATTACTTCCCCGGGCTTCTCGACTTGGACAGAGCTAGCCTGGAATTCACAAGGTACAGAAAGTTCTTGAGGATTCTGGTGGATGTTGATATGAATGAACCGGTGCCGACGGGCTTTGACTTTCCATTCACCGACGAGAGTACAGGAGTGGATCACTGTGACGTGATCGATTTCAAGTATGAAAGGTTGGTGGAATTATGCTATTTTTGTGGGAGAATAGGCCATAATTGTCCAACTTGCTGGAGGATGAATGAGGAAAGGAAGAGAAATGGGAGCGCTTTCCTGTCGGAGATTTACAATTCTTCGCTCAAAGCTGGAATTGACTCCCCCCATAGGAGCCATTTGGCCAGAGTCAGAAGCAACTGGGAGAGTGAAGGCTCACAAAGCTCGTCAGCGGGGAGAGAGAGATCGAGATCGGGAAGCCATAATCGAGAAGGGGAGGGAGAAGGGTGGTCTCCAGTGGAGGCGTAAGGCAAAGTTTCAAAGGGGAACCAACAAATCCCGCCAGGTTTCACCGTAAGGAGGATTGAGCAGGAAGTTCAGGGAGGGGAGGGTTTTGATACGCAGGGGAGATGGAGAGGGAGATACAGAGAGGAGATGGGATCGAAGAACTTGATAGTGGAGATGGATAGAGCGGCGGCGACCATGGAAGTGGGGCTAACTCTGGAGGAGGGGAGGAGTCTCAACAAAGGGGGGAGGCAAAGGGCATCGGTGGAGACTTCTTTGTCTCTTGGGCAAACAAAGCAGCAAAGGGCAGCCCAGTACCCAAGCCAAGCCGGCCCAGTTGATGCTGCAGATTATCAGCACTTCAACGAGGCAGGAGAAGAAAACGTAGGCCAGAAAAAGAAAAAGAGGAAGGGAATGGGCCTGGCAAGTGGAGGGAGGTCCACGGCCGATTTGATTGGAGAAGAGGATTATTTTGTTGGGCCAGCAGGTTCTTTTGAGATGAGAGGACAAGGAGAGGCCACTAGAAAGAAGAATAAAAAATTCATGCCTCAGCATCCTAACAGCTCAAAGGGGATTAATTTAGAAATTGATCCAGAGGGGAAGGGAAAGAAGAATAAGGCAGTGGTGTTTCGACAGAAGCCACCTCTTCAGGAATGAGTATCATTAGCTGGAATTGTAGGGGTTTTGGCCCAACCCTTACAATGAGTTATGCAAAGCGTCTATGCAGACGCTTGGGCCCTTCGATTGTTTTCCTCATGGAGACGAGCAAGAACGAGACATTCATGGAGGAGCAAAGAAGAAGTCTCAAGATTTTCCCCAATAAAGAGTATGTTGAACTGGTTAACTCTTCTAGGGGTTTTGCTTTGTGGTGGAAAGCGGGTATTAGCATTAATGTGTTAAGTAGTAGTAGCTATTATATGGATTCTAGTATTGATATGGGTAGGAAGTTCTTCTGTACTTTTGTTCATGCTCCCTCTACCGCTGCTAGTAGAAGGGATTTTTGGGAGCATCTTAGCTATCTTCAGAGTAGTAGGGAGGAAGATTGGGTGATTGTAGGAGATTTCAATGCTACTATTTATGAAACTGAAAAGAGGGTAGATGTCCTCTTAGGTACAAGAATGTCGAACCTTTTAAAAGGTTCATCTTCCATAATGCTCTTATCGATCTAGGGTTTAAAGGAGAACCGTTCACATGGACCAATAAGCGCACCGGAGAGAATACAATGAGAGTCCGCCTGGACCGAGTATTGTGCACGAAATCTTGGAGAGTTCTCTTCGGGGAAGCGAACGTTTTTCATGAAAAGATGGTTGAGTCGGATCATTGCCCAATCAGATTGGAACTATATGGCAGAGGGAATAGGAGAAGGAAAACTCCCTTTAGAGTGGATGAGAGATGGTTGGATAAGGAAGAATGTAAGGAAATTGTGGGCAGAGCTTGGGATCCGGGAGGACTTTCGACAAACCAACTGGCCAGATGCGAGCAAGATCTTAAAGATTGGTCAAAGGACTTCCATAGGAACAGTGTTCAAAGGGAGAAAGACATCCTTGACCGACTTTAGATTCTCCAACGCCCACCCAGAACACAAAATGGGTGGAGGAAGAGAAAAGTCTCATTGAAGAATTGTCCAAGATTTGGAGGGAGGAGGAGGTTTTCTGGAATCAGTGCTCAAGAGTGAATTGGCTTCAAAAAGGTGATCAAAATAACTCTTTCTTTCACTCCAGCACGATACATAGAAAGCATAGGAATAGGATTCTTAGGCTCAAGGATGACAGGGGAGAATGGGTGGAAGACGAAAGTAGGATTAAGGGATTATCCTAGGACTTCCACAAAGACCTTTTTAGAGCCAGGGACCAGATTCCCTTTAACCATCTTTTGGATGGGTTCCCAAAAAAGGTCACAGCTGAGATGAATAACACACTATGTGCCCCTGTGACAAGCGAGGAGATTAGAAAAGCGGTTTTTTCACTTGGAGCGAAAAAGGCTCCAGGCCCGGATGGGTTCTGTGGAAGGTTCTACAGAAGATTCTAGGACATTATTGCGGAAACAGTGTGTAGAGAAGTAAAGGAGTTCTTTGAGATAGCCACGATGCAGACTGGATGGAACGATACACATATTGTAATGATTCCTAAAGTTGACCATCCAGAGTTGATGAGCCAGTTTCGACCCATTAGTTGCTGTAATTTTAGATATAAAATTATATAAAAAATTATGGCAACTCGTCTGAAAGTATGGACACCTGATCTGATTTCGGAGCTACAGACAGCGTTTACCGGAGGTAGACTCATCCAAGACAATATCATTATTGTCCACGAGGCCCTCCACCGTTTCAAAAACCATAAAAGGGGAAGGAGAAGAGACATGATGCTCAAGTTGGACATGAAGAAGGCTTATGATATGGTGTACTGGGAGTGCTTAGAGACGTTACTGAAGAAATATGGTTTTGAAGAGAGATGGTGTAAATGGGTCAGCGCCTGCATCCGGACAGTCAAGTTCTCCATCCTCTTCAATGGTGAAGCGACAGAAGAGTTCAAGCCGTCAAGGGGAATTAGACAGGGAGACCCACTTTCACCTTTCCTTTTCATTTTGATGTCTAATGCTCTCACCTTTCTGATTGACACAGCGGTGTCCCAGAGCCATTTGAAATGAATTAGGTTAAACGCGAGATGCCCGATTCTTACCCATTGTCTGTTTGGAGATGATACTGTTATCTTTGGAAAGGCCAACCTTCAAGAGGCAGAGAAAATCCTTGACCTCGTCAGAGAGTACGGAGCCATCACGGGTCAAGAAGTGAATATAGACAAATCCTCAGTTTTTTTTTTCAGTGCAAATGTACCATATGGTGAGAAAGCTGCGATCATTGCCCACATCGGTTTTGCAACTTCAAATTGTCACTCAAAATACCTAGGAGTTCGGACAGAGTGGGGGAATTCAAAAAAGGAAACTTTCCAATTCCTCATTCAGATAATGGAGAAGATGGGAGAAGCATGGAAGAGTCTCATCCTTTCTCATGGAGGGAAAGAGGTTTTGCTCAAAGCAGTTATACAAGCAATTCCCTCATACATCATGTACCTCTTCCACCTCCCGGTGAACCTCACCAAGAAGATGGACTCCCTCCTCACCAACTTCTTCTGGTTAGGCTCAATGCAGAAAAGCACCATGCACTGGTGTAGGAAGGAAATTCTATGTGCTCCAAAATCGGAAGGGGGCTTGGGATTCCGAAGTTTCAAGGACTTCAACATGGCCCTGTTGGCGAAATAGGCGTGGAGACTCCTTAATTCCACTGAGGCCCTTTGGTGTCGTCTTCTGAAAGGTCTGTACTTCCCGAGAGGAGACTTCCTACATTCCAAAAAAGGGAGTAGATCCTCTTGGATCTTGGCGAGTCTATGGGAGGCAAAAAAAGTTATCAACATAGGAGCAGTTAAAATCATCGGATCAGGAGAGGATACATGGGTGGGCCAAGATCCATGGATTTCGAGCCTGCATAACTTTGTCATTAGAAGTGGCCCCCAACAGAATCTGAGGGTCAAGGACTGGATAGACCCTGATTATAGGAGATGGAACACGGATTTGATTCAAGGTCATGTGTCAAGAGAAGAAGTGGAGGCTATCCTCAAGATTCCTATTGGTGAAGAGGGATCTGAGGATTTTTGGGCTTGGAGCCTCACTCGAGAGGGGGATTTTTCGGCCAAGACGGCTTACCACACTGTTCATAAAGCAAACACCAATTTCCAACCGACGGGAAGTGAAGGGAGTTGGAAATGGATATGGGGATTGAATATTCCACCTAAGCTTAAGTTCTTCATCTGGAGATGTTCAAGAAATGGGTTGGCAACGAAAGCTAGGCTCTTCCAAAGGAAATTTGCTACTAACCCGATTTTCCAGGTCTGTCAAGACCCGGTGGAATCCCTTAACCACTGCCTCTTCTACTGCCCCCATGCCAAGGAGTCATGGAAATTTTCCCATCCATCCCGACCCCACCCTAGGGTACCTCATTTTTTGACTGGTTCTGCTCCCTCAAAGATACCATCCCTAATAACTCCCTGATTCACATTATCGATCTGTGTTGGAACATTTGGAGGGCAAGAAACGAGAGTACATTCAAGAATAGAGTTCCCTAGCCCCCAAACGTATGTCTTCAAACCTATAGAGAACTAACGGAATGGATGACTTGCCCGAGGCCCCCGACTCCTTCTTTTGATGGTCCCACTCAGCTTAGGGGACCCCTTCCCACTACGAATCCCCCACCAAGTAATCACTCAATGGTGATTCACTGTGATGGGTCGTTCCTTAGCGACTCCCAGACGGTGGCTTATGGTGTTGTTGTTGTTAACCACCATGTACAAGTGTGCGATGGGAGAGCTGAGGTTCTTCTTTGTTCCACCTCGATTGAAGCAGAAGCGAAGGCACTTTTGGAAGGTATTAAATTAGCATAAGAATATGGATCGGAATGTACAGTGCAATCTGACTGTCAAATTCTGGTGAAGGCCCTGAACCATAATCAGTCTCGATGGCCCTGGAGATGCGCAACCTGGATTAGAACAATGGTTGATATCCTTAGGAATAACCCAGCAATTTCGGTTAAAGAGGTTCCAAGGGCGTTGAACGTTAGGGCTGATTGGGTGGCAAGATCTAAAGCTAGATCTACTCTGCCAGAGGACTGGATTAGTATTCTTGACCTAATTTATGATCTCCTTTAAGTGCAATCGTTGTTTGGCGTGTTTCTTTCTATGGTGGAATAAAAGTTGGAATTATTGTAAAAAAAAAATTTATTTCACCACTCGAAGTCCTTCCACCTCTTCCTCTACGTTTACCATGATAGGCTCGTCTTCCTTGATCATCAGAATTTGACTTCTTCATGAACTTTTTTTCATGGACCAACTATGAAATTTGAAGAGCATCAATAGTGAGGATATCTATATAAGGTTTTTTTTATCCCTCAATGGAATAAACAATATAGGTAAATCTCTCTAGTTGTTAGAGTTCTCCGCATCTCTTCTACCCCCTTGACATAAGTTACTTCTCCACTATTATTTCTTACGACATCGGCCACTATGATATTTTACTCTTTCAATATGGTCATTCACGTTTTCTCCAGCCTTCAACGAATCCCTGAGATTTTTGGATGCTACTTTTTAGTAATAATTTTCATATTGGTCTTATTGATCGAACTAAATAGATAGTTCTTAACTTTGAGGTATTTTTAGCTTCAAATCCTCCAGTTCCTTACTTTGTACTGCTCAACACCTTTCCTACTTCGGGTTCCATAAATCCCTTGAAGATCACCTCTCTTAAGTCTGTAGATATTTGATCAAGTTCTCTAAGAAAGTTCCAACAATCAATCCTAGTCTCCATCAAATCGAGAAATACACATTTGAGCAAAGCCTGATGAGTTCTCACTCATCTTCAGAATCAATCAACTCAAATCTCACTCGTGTTTCACTCACCTCCACCGTAATGATCTCATAAAACTCTCGTGTTTCCACACATAGTTCGAATCTCAGACAAAGACTCTTATAATTCATGAATTCTCATGGTAAACTTATTATAGTATGCATATGCTCTGATAATTGGGTCAAACTTACAAGGCTCTTATTCAATTCAATCTAGGTTTAAATACGAAATTCGAACACATGACTCATCTTATCTACTAACCACGACCCTATTTTCCTAATTTCAAGCAACTAATGGGCGACCTTCTATTTTGGTCCCTGAGTGGAGGTGGTCGACAGGTGGCGGAGGTCTCGTCGGAACAGAAAGAGGCGGCTGATGCAGTGGCTTCAAGGAATGGCCAGCCCTCCATGAGTGACTCTCGTTGCCGCTCGAAAGCAGGTCGGAAGCCTGGGATAGGGGAAGAAGGATCGGCCTCTAATCACAAATCTAGGCTGAGGAAGGCAGCCATTTCTGCCCCTGAGAGGAAGGGGTCGGATTCTCCAAATGTAGGGAAGGGGTCGTGGGTGGAGGTCCCGGTAAGAGAAGTGGCGGCGATAGCCTCTTCGCCGGTGCGTGCTGCTGCCCACCAAAGCTCCGGTGACCCGTTCGCCTGTGACTCATCTGAGACGAGTCCAGAGGGGGAAGTTCGGGATTTTGAAATAAAAAAAAAACCGATGGGGGAGCCGACTAGAAAGGGCCATGTCCAACAGGTGGTGTGTGCTTTTGAGGCAGGGATGAGTCTCGAACCCTCCCAACATTCCTCTCCATAGGGTATGGTGTCCGGGATTGTGGCGGCACACCCCTCAGCTCCCATTGGTACTATCGCTGGCTTAAATGAATATGGATCGAACTATGAGGTGTTACTTGCCGGGGAAATAAAGAGGAGGTTCGATGAGGTGGAAGTGGGCTCTTGTGAACCCCCAACACCTAAGAAACAGTTTGTGGAGGAAAAAAACTTTGCTGATATGGTGGAGGAAACCAGCCCTAATTGGTCCCAGCCAGATAAATGAGGCTTTTGGCCTGGAATGTGAGAGGAATTGGACCATCTCTCACATTCCAAACTGCTCTGGGTCTAGTGAGGTCTAATAAACCGGACCTTGTCTTCTTTTCGGAGACAAGAGCTCGCCGGAGAGTAGTTTCCCGACGTTTACGGGGTTTAGGTTTTGAGTCTTCTTATAGTTTTTTTGTGGATGCAATTGACGCATCTGGTGGTCTCGTTGTCGCTTGGTCCCATGAAGTTAGCACTTCGGTGTTTTATCATTCAGATTTTTGTATTGGAATAAAAGTTAATGAAAGTGACTTTTCCTACGTTGCTTTTTGTGTTTATATCAGTTGTAATCCTGGTATCAGGGCTTCCCAGTTGACCCATCTTCGCGTGGTATGTGAAATTGTTCATCTCCCATTTGTGATCGTGGGTGATTTCAATACCATCCTACATGCTCATGAAAAGGAAGGGGGTAATATGTGGAATGTGGCTCAATCGATTAGCCTCCGGGATTTTATTAATGATACTGGTCTACATGACCCTGGCTTCCAAGGTGATGCCTTCACTTGGACAAATAAATGGATGGGAACTGCGTGCATCCGCGAGCGACTGGATAAGAGCTCTCTGCTCTCAAAGTTGGGTGGAGCGTTTCCCTGATACCGTTGTCAAACATTGTACTGATCTCGGCTCGGACCACAGGGCGCTGTTTCATTGCGGACAGGCCTTATGTTCGAAGTACTCGACCACTTTTCCAGTTTGATGCCCGCTGGACTGATAACCCAGAAGTTAGGGAAATGGTCAGGTATGTTTGGCAGATTTGAGTATCTGGAACCCCAATGTACCAGCTTTGGGAGAAACTTAAGCAATTGTGACTCGACTCTACTGTCACTCCAGGAATTGGCCAAGTGTAACCACTTCCTAAAGCGTAGTATAGCGGGTTTAGGTTTAATTATCAACCCGGGTCCTAGATTTGCTGACTACTCAGTGAGTTCTTGTTATCTAGCAATAAAACTGGAGTGCAAGTCTAAACTACCAAACAAACAAAGCAAGTAAACTGGTTGTATTCAGGTTAAAGAGGTCACCCGGATATGGTTCCCCCTAGACTGCAGTTAAGCCGGATTGTAATTACCAAGTTCAGTTTCTATGACAATTATACTGCGGAAGGTTCTTAAACAGCCTGAAGTCTCGACTAAAGGTCTTCAGACCCTCTCAATCTAACTCTCTAGCGGGCGACTAACCTCCACCGGAGTCGACAGATTGAGGCCCTAAGAACAAAACCTCCACTACCGGAGTAAATCCGGTACAGAATAGTGAGTTGGCTCCTCGACTAAAGTCACCAACTCCCTACCTTCAATCAAGGATACTCTATTAACCTAGGCAGATATTCTCATTCTAGGTCAAAGTAGAAACAACAGGAATTTGATCAGGATTCAAGTCATTCAATCATTAAAACCTCAATCGAATATAATCAATCATAGAATCAGTACTTGGGTTCATACAATCAAAGCCTAACATACAAATCTAGGGTTCTCCATACCCAGATGAATGGGAGAACTACTCCGTGGAGAAGAAAGCAAAAGCAGAATCAGACACGGAATTCATACTGCGAAGGATGGAATCCTGCTTCTGGACGTTGATTGGCACTTCTCCAAGCTCAAGCTGGCCTCCAATGGTGTTGAAGATCAATCTAGGGCACTTGGGAACTCTTGCTCGTCACTTTCTCTCTCTAGGAACTGATCTCTCTCTCAAAAACTTGAATCCCCTTGAATTGTGGCTGAAAATCTGCTTAAAAGCATCAGTGGCCAAAGCACGGTCGAGGGCACGGCCGTGCTTTGCCTGAGCCTGCCCGTGTTTCGGCCAGTGTTTAATTACACGGCCAGCAGTGGGAGGAAACACGGCCGTGCTTCGCGATGTACACGGCCGTGCTTTGCCTGAACACGGCCGTGCTTTGGTGCCCGTGTTTGCAGCTGAATCGGCCAAACTGAATTTGCTCTCGGCATAAAAAGCACGGTCAGCAGTACACGGCCGTGTAATTCCTTGGGCTGCCCGTGTTTTGGCTCCAGCTCACCGAAATGACTTCCAAATGCCCCGAAACTCGCGGTTAGCCTTCCCTTTAACGCCTGGGACATGAAACATGACAAAATAGCACAACCCGGCGTAAAATAGGCCAAAACACACGACTATGCCCCTCAAACGGATAAGAACTAGGGGCGCAAATATGTGCAATTACATCGTTATCAAATTGCGACATCTCCTCTATGACTGGAGCAGGGCGGGTACTACCAATTCCCTCCGGAACATTAGAACCCTCCAATCTGAAATCGAGCATGTCAAATCTCATAGCCCTATTAACTGGGAAGATGTGAAGAACCTGGAAGTAGAGCTCAATCGACAATGGGAGACGGAAGAGCTATACTGGCAACAGAAATCCCGGGTTCACTGGCTTAAGAGAGGTGATAAAAACACCTCATATTTCCATACGGTCACCAGGACTAGACGTAAAAGGAATTTTGTGATCGGTCCCCGAGATGATGAAGGAAACTGGGTAACGGATGAGAAAGGTTAGGCTGATATTGCCAACCTCTTCTACCAACATTTATTAACCTCGGAGAACCAAGTACCAAATATGACCAGTCGGGTGGGGAGTCTTCCCATTGCCCAGAATGTGACCCAGGAGATGAATGATATGCTGACAGCAGCAGTCTTACCCCAAGAGGTTAGGAAAACGATTTTTTCCATGGGGTCGAAGCAGGACCCTGGCTCTGATGGGTTCACTGGCAAGTTTTTTAAGGCTTTCTGGGATATTGTGGGGGAGTCGGTGATTTCAGCGGTCTGCTCCTTCTTTTCCACAAGTAGGATGCTTAGGAGCTTTAATCATACATGGCTTACCCTAATTCCCAAAGTAGATAATGCTGAGACCATGAGGCAATTGCGACCAATTAGCCTATGCCAATTTGTTTATAAAATCATTACTAAAATCATGGCAGCTAGATTGGCGACTATTTTACCTTCAATAGTCTCGGAAGGCCAGAATGCATTCATTAGAGAGGCAAATTAGTGAAAACATCCTAGTTGGTCACGAGTTGATGCACTATCTGAAAATCAAAACCCGTGGTAAGAAAGGGTACATGGCTCTAAAGGTTGACATGGAAAAGGCCTATGATAGAGTCGAATGGCCGTTTCTTTTGGCTATTTTGGAGAAGATGGGTTTAAACTCGGTCTGGAGAGGATGGATACAGGAATGCCTAAGATCGGCGTCGTTTTCAGTTCTCATGAATGGCACTCCCTCTGGGTATTTCTCGCCCTCCCGAGGTCTCCGACAAGGGGACCCTCTCTCTCTGCTTCTGTTTGTGCTATGCACAGAAGGCTTTGCGGCAATCCTTCGCAAAGCCATAATGGAAGGGAAAATGGAAGGTGTGAAGGTTGCCCCCCGCGCTCCTCGTATTTCTCATCTATTCTTTGTCGATGATTCTTATCTATTCCTGCGGGGTAACCTCCAGGAATGCGAAAATCTGATTGCTATTTTGAACGAATATGAGGAACTGAGTGGCCAACGTGTGAATTTGGAGAAATCAGCTGTTTGCTTTAGCAAGAATGTTGACCATGAAGACCAGGTTGCATGGGCGGCAGTAATGGGGGTGGGCGCGGTAGGGGTCCATGATAAATACCTGGGGCTGCCAACCCTGATTGCCCGCTCTAAAATGGAGACCTTCCGATACCTGGAGGAGAAATTGTTAGAAAAATTACAAGGATGGAAGAGGCGTACATTATCTTGGGCAGCTAAGGAGACCCTTATTAAATACATTGCCTTAGCGTTGCCTCTCCATGTGATGTCTTGTTTCAAGCTGCCTTTGTCCCTTTGTAGATTGCTTGACAAACATGTCGCCCGATTTTGGTGGGGGGGGGGGGACGAATGATCAGTCTCACATTCGTTGGGTCTCCTGGCGGAATATGTGTCGTAGTAAGCATGATGGTGGGATGGGATTCCGCCGATTTGAACAGTTTAACCAGGCCTTACTGGCTAAAATCGGATGGCGCATCCTCAATAAGCCTACTTCCTTGCTGGCACAGGTTTATAAGGGTAAATATTATCCGACTGGGAGCTTTCTTCAAGCCAAGGCACGCTCCAGGCCTTCTTGGGGCTGGCAAAGTGTGTTGTTTGGGAGGGAATTGCTTGAAAGAGGCCTTCGGTGGCAGATTGGCGATGGGAAAAAAGCGTCCCTGCTCGGGTCTAAGTGGATTCCACATATTCACCCTCACCTTACGGTGGCTAACCCTCAAATTCTTCCACTGGGAGGTGACCCTCGAGTGGAGGAGGTTATGGAACCAAATGGGGGTGGTTGGTGTAAGGCCAAGCTTGGCCAGTGGTTTGATCCCTCGACCTGCCGCAACATTAAGGCGATTCCTCTATCGCGACATCCTGTGGAGGACAAGCTTATTTGGCATGGGACTGCTGATGGAATGTTTACTGTAAAATCGGCCTACCATCTTGTTGTTGATCTGGATAGAAGAAAGGGGCCTTGGAGGGCCATGGCTAGTTGGATTGATAGAGCTAGTTGGATTCGGCTGTGGGAGGCTAACATCCCTCCCAAGTTAAAGGTGTTTGTCTGGAAAAATTTTCAGCGTATCCTCCCGACTACGGAAGCACTTATTGAAAAACGGGTCCCTGTGCACCCTCGTTGTCCAGTCTGTTGGGGGGAATCGGAAACGATGGAGCACTTGTTCTTGGATTGTCCAGTGGCCCGGGCCCTGTGGGACTATTCGGGGATGGAGCATCTGGAGCAAGGCCTGCCCCGCCATACTTTTCCTCTCTTCCTCAAGAGGCTGTTAAGCATAATTCAGCAGCCATAGATTGTTATGTTGGTGGTGGCCGTGCTCTGGCGGATTTGGAAGTCTCGAAATTGGGTTGTCTTTGAAGGCAAGCAGTTTGGCTTACCGGCCTTGATGCGTCAGGTCTACCAGCAATGTGTGGAATGGGAGCGTGTGATGGATGCCAGGATGCCACAGGGTATGCCCCCGGTTGCTCCCAACACAAATCAGCAGGCGGTGGTTCCTTCGATGGTTTGTATGTGGGATGGGGCTACTCGGCCAGGGTCTCACTCGAGTTCTGGAATGGTTTTGCTTGATACTCGTCGTGAGATACTTGTGGCTCGGGGTTGCTAATTCCCTTTGATTGATGATCCTTTGGTAGCAGAAGCCCTTGCCCTCAGAGAAGCTCTCTTCTGGTGTGTGCACCTTGGTTTCCAGACTGTTTTGTTTGAAGGGGATGCTAAAGTCATTATTGATAAAGTCAATCAAGCCGAGACCAGGGATAGCAGGATTGGGGTGGTGCTGGAAGAAATTGTGAGGTGCTTGGGGAGTCATATGGGTTTTATTATTTGTAGGTCGGGATAGCAATAGGGTAGCCCATTCAGTGGCTAGAAAGGCCCTAACTTTGTATCTAGCTCCTTGTCGATTGTTTGATTTCCAGGCCTGGCTTCGTTCCAGGATGTAACTATCTTTTTTGATTCAATATATGAGTATCTTTTGTCAAAAAAAGAAAAAACTCTTAACATATTTGACTAACCTGCCAAGCTAGACTCACAACTCTATGCTAACAAGTACCCAAAATGCAAAACTCGAGGACTAGACAATAGGGGCCGTTTGGTTTTGGTGATAGTTTAGTTGGGATTGTGGCAATGTATGCATTGTCCATAATGCATCATTTTTTTGAATTTTTTGGCACAAACAATACAAGCATTGTTGCTTGATTTGACACAAAATATCACTCAAAATGAGTGATAGTTAAATCTCAAGTTTTGGGTGAGATTGTTTGGTTTTGTTTTTGTTCCCACTATCACCCTACTTTATTATGTGTGTTGCTTTTTATATTAAAAACAAAGGGTAATAGTAACATTTCACTCAAAAAGTAATCCAACTTATTCAATACTATAATAACTATCACATAAACCAAATGATGTAAACTACAATATACCAATTTTCGTATATACATGTATTGATAACAATGCATCAATTTAACTATCACCAAAACCAAACCAAATCTCGTACTACTTGGCAGACAAGACACATACACAAACTTCAATCGACCCAGTTTTCGGAACTTCACTCTAACATTATCGTGAATCTATTATGGGATCTCCTACAGTAACTTGGATATAATTTCTAGTTAGGTAACTTGCATAAATCTAAACCGTTAAAATTGACCAAACTTATTTTAAACCATTGATTAAAGAAATAATAAATAAAAAATTAAGTAAAAAAAATAAATGGCAACATGGGTTGCGGGTCACCACATTCCCAAGTTACCTTTTTTTATTTTTTTCTTTCCCTTTTCACATTTAGTTGCCTTTCCATATTTTAACATTTCCTTTTTTAGTTCTTATTGGATTAGAAGCGTTATGTAAGGCTTCCGTAATAACTTAGCTCTTTACGTAACACGAAGTTAATACTCATTACTTAAAAAGATCTTCTATTACGTAAGACTTTCGTAATGATATTTTACAACTGTTACGTAAAATACACATTCACTACGTAAAGGTTACAGAATGATAGTTATTTCTTACGTAACAGTTAAATCGGAAGCGTTACGTAAGGCTTCCGTAATGACTTAGCACTTTACGTAACACAAGGTTAATACTCATTACGTAAAAAGACCTTCCATTACGTAAAGGTTATGGAACGAGAGTTATTTCTTACGTAACAGTTAAATCAGTAGTATTACGTAAGACGTCCGTAATGACTTTGCATTTTACGTAACACGAGGTTAATACTCATTACGTAAAGTCACATTCTATTACGTAAGGCTTCCGTAATGATCTTTTACAACTATGCCTATTGTATTTTACGTAATACGACCTATAAAACCTGTTATAGCAAGTAAAAAAATTCAAGTTACCTTACTTCAAGTTACGGTAGGAAATCCCTCTATTATATTGTTGTTGTTAAATGTCAAGTTGGACAATGATCAATAAGACATAACTAATAATATTGTTTCACATATGACAAGCTTGCACGGCCCGCACGGCGACAACATCTTGTCTCTATGTTTATGTTATGATGTCCTTAATTAATTCTCCCTCATGCATGCTATTGATAGCTGCTGCAGCAATTGTGGACGCAACGGTTTAGAACTAATTTGACGCGCACATGAGTAATAATTATCAACCAAGCAAAATGAATTATTCTTTCTTTACATGAGAAATCTTATGATTAGGGGTTTTAACTTTAGTTAATTATAGCTAACTAGTTAATAAGCTAGACGTACGTACGCTTCCTTCGAGTGATTATTAAGTATCGGTTATATAATCAACATGTATAATTAAGGGCTAATCTAGTAGCCGAAGGATACTATCACGATTCGGAATGTCGTGACCGTGTTGATCGTCTGAAAAACGCTGTTATTTGGTAACGGCGGATCCAGGATACGGTAGAGCACTCGACCGCATTTCAATAGAAAAATAGATACTGTAAAAAAAATCTCACTTTTTTTTACAATATCAATTGTACACGTCCATCTTTTAAATTTTAATGTAGTGAATTCGTCAATAATGGAGTCTACATCCATACCAATAGCATATTGACATACTCTATTTCAGATAAAATAGTTAACAAATCGGCAAAAAATTCATTGCTCATTTTATTACGCAAAATTTTTTTCACCTGTATTATTGTTGAAAAAGGTTCTCTCCATAGTAGTTGTTGAAACGGGCAATGTCAACACTAGACAAATAAATCGACTAATCAATTTGTATTGTGTGTCAATCTCTATTTCCACCAGCTACTTGATAATTTTTCAAGGGAACAAGCCTCATATTTATTTTAGTCTTTTACGTTTTAGACTTTCAGAATTTTAGGTTTCATTGTTTGTTTTTCTTTAGACGAGAATCATTGGAGCTAAAATTTCCAGGTTAAATTTGGAATTGTGATTTGAATATGTTCATATGAACCCATTTTTCTATTAGCACACAATTTTATTATAAAATAACCTTGGGCCGAATGGCTAAAATCGATAAACTCATAAGGACTATACTAGCTCTGGATCCAGAGGAAGACTGGGCCGTGGCCCGGGGTGGCCACCCCCTGGATCCGCCACTGCCATCTGGTCATCTTGCCACAAGAGGGTAAAAGGGGGTGACATTAGCCATAAGACGTTTTCTACCTGTGCACCGTTATGGCTGAGTCGTGATGTGGCTATGAAGGAGATCGTTGCAAGAGAAAGCACAACTGGTCGGAGGCTATTGCCGTCTCCCTGATGATCCCAAGGCAGGGCAAAACCAGTTGGAATGCGTATGTGGAGAGGCTGGTCTTGAGGGATGAGTGCACCTCAAGACGCCGCACAGGCTTCGGAAGTCTATGTTTGTGACAAGTAGTATTAGAGCCTGGTTAGGCTGAAGAGCCTAGTTCCTCTCTCAGTACGGCATAGGTCGAGTATGGGCCGACCCTATGCCCGAATGAGAGGCGGTCCTGGGTGTGCATATCAGGTGGTCCGGACGCAAATACACATGTGTTGCGCCGTTGTGGGGGACCTCGACAGGCTGAAGATGCAGCGACCGAGAATGTCGTTCAACCGAGGAACTAACGCTAACGAGAGCGTACGGTGAAGGTCGATTGAGGTACAAATGCTGGGAGTAGCGTAGGGTGAAGGTCGACTGAGGTACTGGCGCAGCAGAAGCAAAAAGTGAAGGTTGATGTCGAGGGACGAAGCGATAGTGCGCGGGGTACAACAGGCTAGCGCGAGAGACATGACCGGAGCCTGTCCATCAGAGGATGGTATCGTATGCGGACGCCCACAATTGGTTCGAGTGTTGCAATACATGCTACGGAGAGAAGCATTCTTCACCAGCACGAGGACGTGCTGCATTATGAGTAGTGGAGAATGTCACGACCTAAAATGTCGTGACCGTGTTGATCGTCTGAAGAAGGCTGCCATCTGGTCGTCTTGCCACAAGAGGGGTAAAAGGAGGGTGACATTAGCCATAAGGCGTTGTCTGCCTGTGCATCATTCTGGCTGAGTCAGGATGTGGCTATGAAGAGGATCGTTGCAAGAGAAGGCACAACTGGTCGGAGGCTATTGCCGTCTCCCTGATGAGTCCAAGGCAGGGCGAAACCAGCTGGTATGCGTATGCGGAGAGGCTGGTCTTGAGGGACGAGTGCACCTCAAGACGCCGCACGGGCTTCGGAAGTCTATGTCCATGACATTACCCCCTAATAATATTGCAAGCTCTTTTTACGCTTTTGTTGTAATTATTCTTCAGATTAACTTAATTTGTATGATGTTGTTGCTATTTTTGTCAAAACAAACTCATGTTATAGCTTATGAGCTAACTTATGCGGCAAAATGCATTAAATAAATCACTTATGAAACAAATGTGAGAACTTACGGCGAAGAGAAGATGAGAGTAATAGGCCAAAACGGTGAAAATTTCTAATTCGAGAGGACCTGCATCCAAATAGACAAATACTATCTTTGTTTATCTAAAAGAAAAAGTAAAATTATTTATTCAGAAGCGTCTCATATTCAAATTCTCGTAAAAAATGAAAACATCAATTTTCTAAATAAATCAAAGAGAGATGTTTTGCCTTATTAGCATTTCGTAAATCTAATATCACAGCAGTACTAGACAACTTGAAAGCGAAAAAGTACATGTCCGTGCGCGTGTTTTAACTTTTGGAAAAAAAATCTTCACAGATCATGAAATACATTATATGACACATATCCAAACCCCGCTCCGCTCTCACTACCAAAAATAAATGATTCTTTTTTGAATAATTCATTATCCTCAGACCAATCCTTTCAATCTCACCAGAATTCAAATTTTCTAACAATTTCATGAATTACGATATACACAAACTTCGATTTCACTTTCCAAAACAAATAACGTTATTTCGCGTAACTCATTAACACTGGACCAATCCATTCCCCACCCCCCAAACTATTTCACTCCTCTATATAAACAACACAAATCCCCCCACACAATTTCCTCACTCACTACTCATCACTCAAAAGCAACATATAATCTTCTATTTATTTTTATTTTTATCGTTATGGCTTCCTCCAACGGCTCTTCTGTCAACAGCGCCGCCGGCAGCTGGACGACGTGGCAGAACAAGCTGTTCGAGAATGCCCTGGCCGTATTCGACAAGGACACTCCCGACAGGTGGCAGAACATCGCCAAGGCTGTCGGCGACGGGAAGACCGTCGACGACATCAAGCGCCACTACGACGACTTGGTGGAGGACATCCGCATGATCGAGGCCGGCGAAATCCCGCTCCCCAATTACCGGAAGATGCCGCGACGGCCGCCGCCCTCTGCTGCGGCGAGGCCCGCAGCCGTCGATCACACCCCCCGTGCTAACAGCCACCGCTTCAAAGATGATGCAGAAAGGTAATGCATGTATATGGTTTATCGAATTGGTTATTAAATAATTAATCGTTCATTTAGCTCACAATTTCGTTGTTTTTTTTTTTTTTGGGTGGTATTGTAGGCCGGAGGGGTCTGAAGACTCAGTGAATTGGACGCCAAGAATGAATTAAAAACAAAGATCACATTAGTGATGTTGGGAAAATGGGATTTACTTTATTTATTTACATTGCAGGGAAATGGAGTTAGTTCAACACAGATGTTTTGGCTATGAGGCTTTGAGTTTCTTTCTTGTGTTTTGTTTTTGTTTTGTTATCCTCCATCTTTCCCTTCGTTTAAGGATGTTTAGTCAATAAAATTTCCCATTCCCTTGGCTTTTGATAGATAGGAAGTCCATTACAATTACAATTCAAGAGTCCACAGCATGCACGAATCCATCACCTTGAAATTAGAATGTAATAATAATAATAATAATAATAATAATAATAATAATAATAATAATAATAATAATAATAATAATAATAAGGTATACACTGAACTATAGGTCAATTGGTTCATGATATAAAAAACTGCAATATTGTAACGGGTATTTAACTAGGGTGCTAGCGTCCAAAATCTGTAGGGAGCTTTGTAGGTCGGAGTAGCAATAAGGTAGTCCATTTGGTGGCTATAAAGACCCTCATTTTGTACTCGACTAGATATAGATTCTTTGATTTTCAGGTTTGGCTGATTTCCAGGATGTAATTATATGTTGGTCTAATCAATATATCTTATTATCTTTTGTAAAAATAAAAAAAGAATATTCTTTGTGAATATTCCAATCACATTATGTAAATGCTGGAATGAAGTTATGCTAACATTATCAACTTTTATATCACATTATGTAAACACGTGATATCAAATACAAAATTAGCTCTATAATTCTAATACTATGTCATAACCCTGTCGATCTCAATAAGTTAACTTGTTGAGAAATGTTCATGAATGGATCTAACCACCTTCTCACAATATCAAGTATGCATTTTATTAGAATGGAAAAAAAAATTCTAAACAAGTTTCATCACAAATTTTGTCCAAAAATAACTGTAGAATAAAACAATGAAAAACTTCATGTAAGAATGCCCTATAAATTTGGAATGTTAGCACCGTCTACGATTACATGAGATGAAAACCCCTTCATGGCCAACTAATTAATCTTAATCTAACCAACAATTTAGAGAGTCGCCGAGAAGAAAGAAAAAACATGAAGATGGTAATTAGCCTGTAGCGTTGTCGACCCGCCGCAAAACACATTGTTTAGGGAAGCAGAGAGCTAATCAGGTGGGCGGTTAACGGTTATGATTGTGATTTGTATAGAACGCGGCGGCGTGTGGATTTTCAGGAAGAATAAATAATATATATGAGGAAAGAAATTGATAGGACATGAGTGGCAAAAAGAATCATTTTGTTGGAGTGATCTAAACAAAATGGTCTGTCGCGTAATCATGCTACTAATGATAACTAATTAGTGGTGGTCCCTGAAAAGCTTTGCTACGGTTCAAGATAGGGTGCATAACCCAGACCCTCTATTACAGAGGACAGAGTGCTCACTCACATAACGAGTTAGCTGTGGTTGTCCAGAAGTAACGGAAGATCTATTTCCACATGAGAGCCGGCGCCTTTCGAAGCCCTTTCGTCTGTGTGTGCGCGGTGGTCCCTGAAAAGCTTTGCTACGGTTCAAGATAGGGTGCATAACCATGGGTTATGCACCCATCAATAACCAAATCTGGACCCTTCATTTAGAAAATTCATATCTAAGGATGGAGAATTAAAAGTCATTTTTATTTTTCTAAACTTTCTTAATTGACTCATATCTTTTTCGTTTTAACTCGGATTTTAATTTTTTTGACACAGATGGAACGAGTTCATCGTGCTCTACAAAATGAGATCAAGTTTTCAATATTTTTTGAGAAAAAAAAATTCTGGCCTCTCGTTACTAACTGCATACCATATGGTATCTTCTTCGTTTTTAATTCGTTTTTGAAAACGTTTGCATAGCAGGGACGAGTTCATCATGATCTATTGGATCTACAAATTTTTTGGTGAACAAATTACAAGACCAAAAAATACCACATAATACCATACAATACCACCATGGTACGAGGTGGTATCTTATGGTATACAATGTTAAAAGTCGTAAATGTCAATTAATATACTTCTACTATCATGTATTCAACCATCTTACATTTTGGTTTGTGTCATACCACCATGGTACGCTTTTCAAATCATAGGTATGCTCTTATTTCAATACCAGTCAATACCATATGGTATAGACTGGTAAAAAGTGGCTCATTTTTTTTTGTTCGAAAAATATATCAAAGTGGATGTCATTTTGAAGAGCACAATTAATCTGATCTAACTGTGCAAAAAAATTAATTTTCGACTTAAAACGAGTGAGAAATCGTCCGTCAAAGATTAATGAGGGGAAAATTAAAGGCTTTCCAAGAGAGAGGATGCTGATGTCATGCTAATGTGGGCTGGTTACTCATGGTTACTCACCATAAGGTTACTGACCTGATCCGTTCCCTTTTGCTACAGTGTCGAAAAGTGTTTGATTGTTTGCTTCCTGCTTCTTGCATGAGAGCTTCTTAGATTTTAGGATATACCTCGATCTCAACAAATCGAGTTATAAATTGTATTAATTAATTTTTTAATAAATTACATTTTGGACAGTTATAAAAAAAACTATTAATTACAATTCTCTCTCTTTCTCTCACTTTTAAAATCTCCAGCCAGATCTTCTTTCCTTATTTTTCTCAATCTTTCCGCAAAAAAAAAAAATCTCTATCAATCCACTAGGCAACAATAAATAATTACCAATCCATTAAAAACACTATAATTGCACAAAACACCAATACCATTCGATAAATAAAAATATTAATATTTCACAAAACACCAATATCATTGCAGATTTAATCAATACCAATGCGACAAATGGCCTTTAATCTACGTAACATGCGTTTGAAGTTTGGGCTGTTGTATCGACGACCACGTACAATTTTGGAGTTACAACTAAGTGCATCGCCTATCACTTGCTCCACCGCGTTCGTCACAGGCAGCCATGCTCCGCCTCCACATCAGGAATGGGCGACTCTAGTGGGGTGGGGTAGAGAGATGGAGCGGGTATAAAGAGAAAGAAGGGGGGCGCGGGGTGGCAGGGGGAGGGAGGAGGGACGTCGACGGGGGTTGGGGTTGGGGGGGGGGGGGGCAGTGAATCAACCCTCGACTAAAGCAATCGATCCACTACTATCAAACTATGGTGCTCTATTGACCTAATCAGGTATTCTCTCTCATAGGATCAAAGCAGAATCAATAATCTCTACTAAAGCATAATTGAATCATGAAAACGTGCATAGATTGAATATGAACTCAAGATTATCAAGTAAGAGTCATTACAAAATTAGGAAGCATAGAGGACAGTAATTGGGGACAAAATTTTAATTTTGTCTCCGGAATTCTAAATTTAAGCGGTATTGGGGACGAATTAATGGAATTGTCTTCAAAACAATAAGAGTTGGATGTTTCAATGATGCGGGCCTAACCCAAGTTGTCCCCAAAGACTTCGGCAAGACAACCGGAATTTATGAAATTCGAAAATTTTGGGTTGTGGATTCTCTCCCAATAAAATCGAGTCGGCTTGAGTCTTAGGGTTTATTTCTTCCCAGCTTCCGCCTACTGGGATCTCATTCTTTCTTCAGCTTCTCATATTTATTTTTGATCGGCAATAGAAATCGATGGTGATGAGACCATAGCCACGTTGGCGCAAGCCACAAGGTATGAGAGAGCTTCTCCCTACGTCTCCTTTCGATTGTTGTTGCTTCCTCCAATTCGCATCATCACTAGATTCCTCTTCCTTTGCGTTGTGGTTCACATTCGTCATCCTCCCATAATACCCCTAATTCAATTGATTAATCAGTATATTGATCTAATAATTGCAATAAATCTTATGATCCCCTGAATCCTTGCCCTTTGATTTTCGTTTAGGTCCTAGGGGTTTACTTCCCCATTCCCAATTGATGTGCACTTCACCGATAATTTTAGTTCAATAATGATTTGTTTCTTAGTTTGAAGGTTCTTCATCCTTAAATTGACTCAATGGGTTTTTGTTCATCCAATTGATTTGTGATGCAAAAGTGGACTGCAACTAGTTCCCAAACTCAGGATGGAGGGAGAAGCACGAGATATGATGAGAAGGCATTCATAGCTTCAAAAAGAGTTATAGGTATGTGATTCATTCCTCTTGATCATGTCCATGTGTGTGTTGGTTAACGCATGACTAGCTAGGAGGTTTAGTTGGAAATCTCTACTTTCTACTCCAGGAAGTATTTTGGGATATGTGGATAAATAGTTCTAGTCAGATTGAATCTGATGATGGTGGACAACGCGCTTGTGAATTGATTAATCACAAACCAATGCACTCTGCCACATAGCTTGTTATAATTAAATCTTCCTTTACTCTTTCTGGCCTGTCCTTTACTATGAATTGGATGAAATAAATTTTAACCACAAAGACCAACTAGTTTAAATCATGCCCTCTAATTTGTAATGCCCTCTCTCGGAAGTAGGTAAAATCATTATTCAATGCCTTTTACTCCTTTTTAACGTGAGTTATTGTCTATTACAGTTCTGCTTGTTCATTATTTGGTAAGCTCTAGGTAGCCTTAAGAAGTGGTGTTATGGCTTGTGATAGCTAATGGAAACTACCTTTGCATTATGATGAGCTTATCTAATTGCTTGACTTAAATTACTATTTTGTAGAAATTTTCTCTATGTTCATTGTGTCTGCAGGCCATCGAGTGTTTAGTGTCTAGAAGAATTATGGAGGAACCATTTTCAGAGATGAAGGACACATTTCCAGTATAGGCAAATAAATAGTTTATTTGTAGTTTAGCCTGATAGGAATGTTTCATATTATATTGTTCACTACACAGTACACAGATACTTGTGTTATTATCTATAAGAAAGGATTTTTTTCCATTGTGTTGCGATTAATGGTTTGCAATTTGTAGTCCGCATAAAGTTAATTTTAAAACTTATTAGATACCAATTCTTTTATCAAGAAATGGTTCTTAGGAGAAAACTCATTCTCTCGAAAAATGGCTCTTAGGGACAATTTTAGGTATTGAAAACCTTATACATACAAAAAAAAGACAAGGCACACAATTAGAATTTGGAAAAGGCATTTCACAATTTTTAGAGGACTCTGCATAAACATCAACAAGGTAAGACACTACCCAAAAAGCATAACCCTTGGAACACAAATCCACTACCCAATAAACTGCAAAAGAGATCTGCAAACCAATCACCCATAGGTAAATCCCTCAATCTAAATCCCTAAAATCCACATCCACAGTTTAATCGGGAATAGACGATAGAGCCGGGAAAGATGGATTAGAAGAATCTCACTTAGATCTGTCAACTTCTAAAGCCAGAAATCCAAGCGCCATCTCGTCAGTTCTTTCGCCATCTTCATCGCGTTCAAAGCCTCCTTGGCCGGCGTC